GCGAGCGATCGCTGTTTGTGTGTGTGAGTGCGCGCCGTGTTTTTCGGCTACCCCTCCGGCGCGCCGCACAGCGTGCTGTGCGTGAAGAGTGGGGAGGCTTGGAATATCCGACCGAAATCATACCAAGAGGAGGACCCACACGCATAACCTTCGACTTGAAGAACGAATTTATTCCGACAATCTCGTTTATGAGACAATATCGTTTACCCCTTTATTCTTGCATGTATTGGACATAAATAACGTCGCCTTTAATCGAATTATTTAATTTAATTGTTGTGGGCATCTGCAAGATTGAGTCGTGAATCAAAAAAGAAGAATAAAAATATAACTATGCATACAATACTCAAATGTCACATAAAAACGTCTCAAATTCCACCTCCACAGGCCCAGTCATAAAAAGACTGTTTTATTGCGTATCCCAACAATTTCAGTTTGTTTTTCAAAAATATTAGGAAGTGAGCACTCACACTAGTTCACAGCGAAAGTGTACACGCACAATCCCTGAAAAGGAATGACCGCGACGTGGCAATCTAGCTACATATGCAAAAATTCAATAGCCGAGAGGAGAGCAGAGCGTTTGACAAAAAATTTCAAAGTTTTCGTTTTCGCATTTCTTATGTACTTTACTTCCTACGCGCCCGCCGTTCGGGAAGTCTAATATGTTCGGCGCGCGCGCGTTTTTCAAGTTTCTCTTCTATTTCCGGCGCCTTCTCCGCGCACTTATTGGAAACAATTCAAACTAATAACGACCGAAACGAGCGCAAATGTGGGGTAATATTTGTTTTATATTGTTTATACGATATTAAATATTACGTTTTCGTGTTCGGGGTGCGTGTAATTTCTCCAACGGCTTGTTCTCCGCATACGCGAGTTGCGGCGCGCGGTGTTACTAAACGTTGTTGTTGCTCTTACGCTAAATGCACAAAACAGCCGATATACAATACAACCCTCGAACGGCGAACGCACACACACATCTACGCAGATTTACACAAACCCATATTATATTCGATGTGTGCGATATACGTGCGGGAAGGCTTTTGGAGCACTTACACGCCGCAGACCGTCATGGATGAACGTCAGAAAAAAATATATAAAGAAAACTTTTTTATTGCCGTATAGGTTGGCCGTAAAATCGTGCTCAATTAAAAAAGTTTTCCAATTCAAATTCGCGCACGGAATGCGTCTTAGAAAGGCACGAATTAAAGTCATAACACACATACATGTGCGCCGCCAGTCCGGACGGAAATCCGAGGGAGGTGTGCGAGAGCGAAACGACGGGGCTCTGCGAACAGCAGCGTATGAGAGCACATAAAAAATGCAACCTAATTTAAAGTCTCCAATCTTCCGTACGTACGTACGCACGCGGAGTACCTGCCTGCCTGGAAGGAAGCTCGCGGATTGCAAGGGGAAGTAAATTAACGTTTACAAATAAAGCACGATATGCAACAAAGTCATGTTATGTTTATATCATTGGCGTTGCCGACACCAGACGTGATAAAACTTTACGACTCTGCTTTGTTTCATACACGCCAAGTGCTAATTTACAAATTTACTTAGGTATAGATATGTAGGTATACTTGTGATGTGTCGAAAAAAATCACCGCTATGAAGACCACTCCACACAGTAGTAGGTACCATCTAAGCACTGCCAAATTTTAAACAGTGCAAAAAGCATTTTCTTATTCAATAGACACCGACAAAAATACCTGACCTGCCTAACATGCGTCTTTTCGACACCGAAAAACTTACCCAAAATCTGTGACAAGCTGATTCTAAACACAATTTTTCTGAAAAATGTCTCTAACTGCACATATGCTGATGGCTAAATATGAGTTCATTTCTGGGTTTTAGAGAACCCCAAATTGTACAAATTTATGTGATTTGGGGGGACTTTTGTTATACAGAGCTAAGTTATAAAGAGTTTATACTATAATTTGAGCATGCATGGAGAATGAGGAATCTTGGTGGGTTTGAGCTTTGGGGCTTTAGTGGCGTACGTGTGTGAATCGAGGGCGTAAAGTGAATGTGGCGTATCCACGCGAAGATAGCGAAATTCTCTGGGTAGCTAAGAGAGCTTATCGGAATTTCAATTGAATCCTGTAGTTATAAAGACATCGTATTGTGGAACAAGAGCTACTAATTAGATAACAAGTAGAAAGTTTGTGTGTACGCAGCGAGGTGGTCGGGGAAGCGAATAATTGTACGAAGGAGGCGAAGGGCAAAAAAGTCTTGCTGTAGTGTAGGGTGATCCAAAGTTATGCGGTAAAGTGGGTTGCATTACTTTACGTTCATTGTCTCTACAAAATCCACGGCCGCATATCAGTTTAATATAAATTTATTTTATTATGATTCTTTGTAGTTATTTATTACTAATCTTAAAATGTCTGTAGTAATTTATTTCAATTTTGAATTACTGTAATTTAGATGCCATGTTTAGTGGTCGACGCGGTTGATGTAAGGGAAAAGTTTCAATACAAAACCATCTTTGCCACCCTAGAGAATGATGGTAGGTATAGTGTGGTGTCCAGAGTTACAGCAACGCATTTGCTTGAAGAGTGTTTGCCCCGGTTACCGGAAAACCGTCGGCCCTAACTAGATTACGTCCTAATAGCGGATAACCACACTGCGAGGCGTCAGCCACAAGTCAAACGATAAACTTTATCATTACACCAGCAACCAGCAAGCAAGGATTTGAATTAAACTGAATCACATTCATTTTTGAACCGCAATATGCAAAAATTGAATTGCAACGACCTACCGGAAGTATTTATTATTTGGGGAGTATTTATATGTTGTGGCGAACAGGTGTGGAACGTGCAGATGTGGCCGTATTATCATGTGTAGAATACAAGGCACCGTGCGGTAGAAAAGTATACGATGCTTCGTTGGCACGCACGTGGAATAAGACATCACACCCCCACGTTTCATAGCACGCGAGCTATCTATGCCTGTCTGAAGTAATACTGCGAATTCGTCGACTACAAACGCGCCGCCGACAATTCGGTTCTAATGTCTAATACGGTCGCTAATTAAGCACGTACCTACCGTATAGATTGTTTATTGGTTCTAGTCGATGGAATAAGAGGAATGCTAAGTAGTTTTGAGACTACTAGCAACCAACCATCGGCTGCCTTTCCGGCTTTCTTGCAAAACTTTAAATTGATAAACAAACCTAATTAAATGAAGATCAAATTTACCTTTTGCTAAATTAAGTGTATAGAGATGTATTTTGGACTTGTATGGAATACACTTGATATAAAATACTATTCTTGTATTGAATCTTTCAATTTTCCTGCCAAAGATAAAATACCCAAGCCTTGAAGTTCTTGAAGTTCGCAATTAATTTACGACGTCTTTTAACAATTCTTTGCGTTCGGTGCGTTGCACTATTATAATCTACACAGAAAGGAATTAAACGAGCATAAAACGAACGCGAGTATCTTTTTCATTACGCCAGAGATCAAATTATTAGAAGCGACGGATTTGCGGAAACGGCGTGGAAGCCTCACACAAAGAAGAACGGGCGGGCTCCCATAGCAGACGCACGTTAATAATACGCTGTTAATTAAATCCACCGGTTTGAATGTGCATTAAGCCCTATAGTGTGATAAATGAGCAAGTGTGCAAGATTGATATTATATTTGTCAAGGGTTTCTCCATTACATGCGTCTTACATCTATACCACAAACGGCGATTTGTTAAAATAAGTTTGCGTCAATGGATATTTCATCCGCGTTGTGGATGTGTACCATGTGATGTGCGCTGAAGTGTTGCCGGAAATGTCATGCGACACCTGCTTGAACAAACGGAAAGCATATGCTAAGAACTCTTTTGGCGAAAAGTTTTGCTTCGCTTATATTCTCGTTATGTACTTAAATGAGATATAAAAGAATACAACACATTTTTGTTTCGAGTCTTCTCTTGAGCGTAGTGCAAAAATAATTTTATTTCGGATATTTACATATTCCGAAATCAACAATTTGCATTCCAAGCATTATGCACTAGCTGACTATTTCGTGGCGAAAAAACATCAAAAAGTACTGAGCTAGTATAAATAAAAAGTGTAACAATCGTCAGGTGTAGAAGAAACGTAAAATTTCAGTGGGAAAAATATAAACTCAAAGAGCAAATAGGCGGCAGCGTTCAAATGATATGCAAATGTGATTTTCGTAGTTCACTTGGCACGGATCAAAAGTCACCGCCGATGGTTTTTGCGCGTATTTACTATGAACTGCAATGTGCGATCGAGAAGCAGCAGAGTAACAAAACTAACGTTCTCTTCGCGGGACGATTCCCGTAAACTGGATTCCAGGTACGGATATACGAGAGTATATCTAGCAAATGCGTGCTTGGTAAACCATGAAATTAAAAGAGGCATCACGAGAAACGGTGATTTTTGCTAATTGAAGGCGATTTTACGTTTGATTATCGAAGTCGACTTGTTTGAATCGAAAATGTTTCAATTTGCGCGCAGTTGTCGAGTGGAAACCGATGAAGCAATGAACAAACCGCGAAGATGCTGACAAGGAGAGCAAAAAACGGAAATAAAAGTATCGCCGATGATCGACTCCTGAGTAGAAAACGAAGGAAAAGCCTCAAGTCGAAAGCGAATCAAACGAAGCGATTCCAAGTGCTTTGGATGGTAATTTTAAATATTGGTTTCCGTGTTTGTGCCTTGCTTCGAGTTTGTTCCATTCAATAACACTGATAATCTTGGGTAACAATGCTCTTTCTTGTTCTTTTTCCGCGAGAGAGACTCAATTTTCTGTGTCGGTAAGCAGATTAGTCGCGGTGTTCGTTGGTTCAATATTCATAGGACAGCAGAATACGTTTCAATAATTTCTAGTCAGGGCGTCAAATTTTCAAATAATAGCACTTGTCAATTTATTATAAATGCATGTATTTACGTATAAATTTTATTAGTACCTTAGAGGCACAGAGCAGCCAGCGAACGCGACACAAATATAGATATTTAATTGAAAACGCTTCTGTTTACTTACAATTAAGTCTGGAAACATGAGGGGCGCGCGCGTTGAACGATGGCAGCAGCAGTACCGGGGCGGCGAGACGTCGTAAGACGGTGGAGCGAAGTCAACGAAACTAATTAATGATGCTCACCTGAAACAGACGAAACAAAATTCATTACACCGAATGGCACGTACACATATACATACACACATAAGAAACACAACAACGTCTCAATTTAAATGCGGGGCGGAAATTTAATTAGAAACAAATTCATCTTTTTATCATCATTTTCCTCTTTCCACGAGCATGCGCTGGTATTATCAGCGCTATCGACTTTGTAACAAACTAAATTAAACCCTAGCTGATATTATAAACGTTTACAATGCATATCGCCCCGATTAATGCATTTAACATTTAGATAGCGCGACGATGGTGGCGACCGCCGGATGAAAATAATATAAAAAAGAGCCCGGCACGTACCCAAAGGAAACCGGTTGAAGAAGCGATAGAGTAAAGAAGAAAGCAAAAAAATCGTACGGCCAAGACACACCATGAAAGGACCAGCGCGCGGATAAACGCACACACTACTCCTCTCTCAAGATGCGGAACGCATACGACAATACAATGGCGCATCTCGTGGGGAGAGCACGTGGGAGTGTTGCGGACATTCTACTCAGGAATGCGGCTGGCCGCTGGTTCGGTCGTTTCGTTTACCTTTGGCTCAAACTTGCAAATCGGGTATTATAGCTGTACAATTCACCCGCCCGGCCACGACAAACTTCTACGTGTGTGTGTGTGCAATCATTCGCAACTTCTATCTATTCGGCGAGAATCACTACAAGAACCAACCAGAAGAACTAACATGCATAAACAAGCGGATGTGGTGTGGTAGACGATTGAATATTTGGTAATGATCAGATGTTAAAGCTGGCTGGATTTCCGTAAATAAATAATACTATGCCATTTATTCATATTTATTCAACGAAACGAAGAAGTGCAATGAAATATGACGATGTGCAACAGGACGGAACATTAAAACCACACCTGGAGACACCTGCTCCTCCAAACAGCATAATTAGTAGATACAGTTAGGAATTAATTAGTTTTTCGTTTTGAATTGCCAAGGGGTGAAAACTAATAAATTTAACCAAGAAAACAAATGTTTTTCCTCACCTTTATTTAACCTAATTTATATAATTAAAGTAAAATTTATTCATTTAATCAAAGAAAGTCATTCGAATCAAATGACAATCCATCAAATAAAAAAAATTAAACTAAAAGCTGTCGGCATGCTTTGTAGACACACCTTAAAACCCACTGCAAGATATTTCTTAATCCGAATGCAACCTTCATTTTAAATCACGCCGTTGAGAGCATCATCTTCAGTAAGCTACAGATTATTTATTTAAATTGGCTTTAATTAGTTTTATACGTTGATTTAATATGAAAACCTTACAGAATAATCTGGTTACAAAAGAATCGTATGATAACCAAATTTTTAGCTCTAAATGATCGTTCCAAGAGAATTATCAGCATTTTGTATCCGTATCATTACTACACTCAACAAGTAGTTGAAAAAAAATCTGGGTAATCAGAAAGCAAGAATTTGAAAAGATCAGTGTCCGGATAATATAACATTTCACACCCACTAAAGTTAAAAATTAAATTCCCATATAGGTACATAAATAACCTTGCAGAAAAATATTGTCATTACTAATATAATTAATATGCATTTGTAATAAGTAGGATATAGAAACCTGTTAATGAAGTGCCAATAATAAATCAAGTGTAAACGTCGTGAAAGTCATTGCGCGCATTTTTCCCACTGATTAGTCTTGGGTTTTCTTTTCAACAGCTCGGCAGAAATGGCAATTATTCGAAACCGTTAGAAGCGCGCACGCCGCAAGAAGGCAAACAACGCAATGATCGGGTCGAAGGTCAAAAACGGGAATAAATTTTATTTCACATTCGTGTCATCTGCACATTCCTGATAAATGCAGAAAATTATAATTATAAAAATGGCAATGAAAAATTGCTTTTAAATAAACACTACATATAGGTACTAAAAGCTATATAAAAATAACGAATAATGAAGTGGTAAATAAAATTGCTGGAAATACTTAACGATTAAGTTCTCGATGATTTCCCGTTCACGTCGAGTTAACTAGTGTTAGACCGCGCTGGGAAAAGGGTTGAGTTGAGGGTATCATTAAATAAATGATAATCGACAACGTACTAGAAAACGTGACCGAATGAAACGGTTCATGAGCGGAGTTTGCACTCACGAGACTGAATACAAGAATTTAAAAAACAAAGAAGACTATGCCGGGAATGTAAATAACACACTCATGCCATCATGAACCGAATTTACTTTCGATAATAACACATTCTATCAGATATTTGATGCATGCCTGCTGTATGATTCCGTAAATCAAAAACAAATCACTGTTAATTATAAAGCTGGTCTTGAATTTGTGTCCAATAAACACTAATATTACACAGAGACGCAAAACCAGACGAGTAGGTATCATTGCGAATATTTGATTTCTACGAGTACGTGAATAATGTGATGCGGACGAAGTAATTGCACACAGCTTTGTTTCAACTTTTAGGGCTTTGTGTGAAAGATCTTAACGGTAGTTCCATGGGAGGGAAAGAAGTGTTGATTCAAGATAAGATTTTTTTCTCGTCTCATTGAAATCAGCGACCAACGGTGGAACGATGTACCGCGTTTCTTCCGCGGCGGTCGCGCACACACGTCGACCGGAGAACAACGCGTAAATCATTATTTGATGCCTTTCGGTTTACACGACTGCGAGAAAACGCCGGAACAATCGTCGTGGTACTTAGAAGCCGTTGCGACATAAAAACCGGGAAGGCCATTAAAGTGACAATATTAGAAAAGCACTGCATTGTTCCGAATGCTCCTCGGCCAGTCGTTACGTCGCTATTATTCCTTTTAAACGCTTTTAATGTTTACTTCGTTTTTTCCGACACTTGCATCGATTATTTCTTGTAACTGATACTTAAAGGAGATGTGTAGGTTATATTTTAATTACTCGCACCTTTGATGATTGTATTAATTATTTATTTTGTGAGATAATGTAAAGAGAAATCCATGAAATAAAAAGTTTAATTAAATGTCACGTCAGGAGTGAACAGAATAGGCGGGAAGGTGATAGACAAAAAAGAATGACTAATAAATAACAGAAAGGTGTTCATCGTCGGCAATTGTCAAGTTAAATGAGTTTAAGTAATTACACATATGATTCACGTTTCACCTGCTCGTTGCGGTCGTATTTTCAACTGTTTCCATATTATTACATTTCTTCACTGTAACTTATAGGATTTGTTACAAATATTACCAAAATTATCTGGTAAGTACAAACCTGTAAATAATTTATCTCTCGATTTAAAATGCATACGTTCCACGCCGTAAGGCATCTAGAAACGCATATAAAATTTTAATTGTGTTTAAATACCCGAATATACATTATGTTTGCATCATATGAGTTCTCTTTTTGTTTAACGCACCTTTTTGCTCTTACGCTTTGTTGCCGTATTTGTGTAGTTGCATGAAAGCCCTGTACGTAATTGTCCTCTACATACTTCTAGGTGTGCATACCCGTGGTCTGCGTCGAGAGCGATAGGAAGCGCGACGAGGGAGAGAGCTGCTGCGACACACAATGGGTGCTGCCCTTCTGGCTAAATTAGGGGTTAAAATTTATCACCTGTCCCCCATACTCTGATAATTCCACTACCTATGGCAGCCGCGCGTACATGCGTATTTACGAAGCGCATTACGGCGTCTCGCTTTACTCGTTCGCACTTTAATTTCATAGATTTAATGGTCGCGCCACACGTCGTTGGAAGTTTTTAGTCGGGCGTCGAATGGGCCTAATTTTATTCAATTTGCCCCACATTGTAATGAAATAAACGCGCACAACGAAGACGTGAAAGAAGGGCGCAACGGAATTGTCTTTGTATAGAAGAGAGCTCTTAATTTTGGAGAATTCGTCAATTGAAAACGTCGCTACGCGGAACGAAGGAACTTAATAGTTGTTGCATGGCTCGCAATGCGTGCAATGTTTTGAATAGAAGAATAGAGTTGAGGTAGATAAAAATTAAGCTTTAATGGATAGATAGATCTTGATAGATTTACAAACAAAAATAAAATAAAATGATTGATTGAGATGATGTTAATTAATTAAAATAATCAAATGTTTTAGGGCAGCTTACATCCCGTGCATACTGAAATCATTACGCATAGTCAATCAATAAGATACCGATCTATCAAAGCACGTAGCTGATTGAAGAGTAAAAGATGCAAACGTGCAGTGCCAATAAGTCGGCGAAAGATTACAAGTACTCGCTGCCAATGGGAGAGCCAATGAGAGATAATTAAATGTTGATTAATTAATTGAACGCGGAACATTCATAAGTCATTCGTGACATAGGTGAACTTACGCATCGGCTCGCTGTGCAGCTCCGACAAACGAAAGCAAAAAAAAACTAAAATATATAATAAACGAATCCATTCCACTCCTCGCCAATCAATAACTAATCATAGCTCGCCGACTCACACAAACACATAAGCTCCGCGATTGATTACGGTTAATTATATTTTACTTGCGATCTCAGTAGGTATTTAAACGTTCTAGCGTTGAAATTAAAAACAAAGAGCGAAATAAGTGCATTTGCTTGTTCGAATCGTGAACGCACAGATGAATAATGACACCCCGAACGGTTTGGGCAGCGAAGAGCGTTAGAAAGAATATGGTAATTTTTACCACCATTAATTCGTCGTTGATTCCTTTTATATTTTATGACGTATCGCATGTAGCTGACACACGATGGGCTGTTATGTCCTGCTAATAGGTCTGCCGTGGACATTTCAATATGCCCGTCGATATGGAGCGCAGCAAAACGGGCATCATATCATAGTAAGCGATTCGCGAATGCGAACGCAAAGCGCACTCTTATCCAAAGCAGCAGAGATATAGAAATATATTTAATATACGAAGCGTATGGTACAAACGCACCGCATTGTCTAGACGACAATTGAATGATAAAAAAACAACAATTCGATTCACCAACGTCCATGGCAAAATGGCCGTTTTATGTGTTTTATGTTTCCCGATAACTTTACAACTACTCTTTGTATGTGTAAATTTATGTGTGCGTTCATTATGCATATTTTTTTGCGCGCATATAAATTATTTTGACAATATGTCGTTTCCATCGGGACAATAATTCATTACAGCAATATATTTATATATCTTAGCAGAAAATATAGTTCTGTGTAGGAGTATGGAAACAGAACACTCTATGGTTTTTATTCAATTGAAAATTTTTGGACTTTAGGTAGTTTGTAACTCAGGTAGACGCTGAAGACATAAGGTGATTTCGAATTGCAATCATGCATACAATACATACAATAGCCACATTTGTGAATGGAAAGCCCTTAGAAAATTCCATTGAATTATGCATTTCAATAGTTCTTTCTTACTTGTATGGAATTTTTGAAAAACTATAATCAATGTTCGACACCCTCAACCCATCATACAATTGAAAAAACTGTGACATTGGCATTGGTTAAATTTTCCCACGTCCGCAAAGAAATAAACAAATCTGATTGAAACGTATTTTTGAGAAAGGAATTAGTCCTCCCACCCTTGAACAGTCCAATTATCTATCATTATCATTATCTTTATTAGCATATCCATATAAATATGAAGACCCGAGGTACGTACGACTAGACGAGCACGTTTTGTGCAATTTGCGCCCAAAGAATAGGAAAGAAAGGGCTGACAAATGAAAGAATTTTTGAAAAATGAACAAGATGATGAGCGCAGTGCGCTCCCGAGGTGGAGGAGGGCGAAAGGTCGGTCGGTTGATCAGCGTTTCGGAATCGAGGTGACACAATACCGCACAAATGAAATACGCAAATGAAGAATTGTGGAACGTGTGAATGGTATAGTAATGATCCACGATGACACAGTCCGTCTCGCTCGTTTGGGGTTCACGTAGGGACCACACAAACACACGCGTTCGCAATACGCCGGCGAAATATGTGCGCCAGCATGGAAACCGAATCAAAATCGGAATCCGCAACCAGTACCACCACCAGCCACCGTCGGTTCGGTGTGATTGTCCTCATTCTCCCGACGAGACCTATCCGGTAATGAGACATTGTCCACTTTCAGCTCAACAAAAAAGAATCTAGCAAACATTTTCGATTCTTGTTATTCGCACTTTCTTATTCGTTAAATTCGACTTGATTAATCAATTAATTCCAATACAATGTCGTATAATTGAAAAAGAAATATCTATTGTACCGCAATGACCACAACAATCCTATGAAAATTAATATTTGTGTGTAAAAATCTTTCAAATACATTTTTATCGCAACCAAACTAAAAAAAAAAAAGATTTAAATTAAGAAAAGCTCTACCGCAAAAGGTATCTCCAAATAAAACATCAAACAAAAGATGGGACGCATCACTTAGTTTCTACCTGAAGTGTCCTTGCGATATTTATTTTGTTAGTTCGTTAGTCTACAATTCGACTGTCTATAACTTTGTGCCCAGCAAAGTCCCAAAACGTTTGTCCCTTTTATCTCGGCAAAAAACAAGCTATAATGGTGCCGCCAATCAAATTTTGCACCTGTATACTAAATAATTACCGAAGTTCTACAAACCGAAATGGACTTAAACCAATTTACAACATGCCAATGCTCATCATACACTTGCACACACAAATTAAATCGCGGTAGGTAGAACTGAAAAAAACAAGGAAAATAAATTATACTTAAAGAAGTGAGTGTCTCAGGTAAACATATCAGTTAACATAAATATATTAGTTAACAGGTTTTATTCTTAGAAGAAAGTTACTAGAAATGCAATTTTTGCAATTTTTTAAAAGTATATAAAAAAAAAAATAAAGTATAAGTATATTGTGTTTATAATAAGAAGCATAATTAAAGTTGACAAAGTGGTAAGAATAAAAGCTTCGTGTTTGCACACACGCTTGGAATAGTGATAACTAAGCGAATGAAAGACGATTACGAGCGCCGGCGCGTGCACAGAGAACAGCGCCGAGAAAGGAAGGTAATGCACGCTGGAGTATGAGAATCCTATTATCCTTTAACACGGACATTCAATTAGTAAAACCACGGTATTTCATTAGATGAAGTTAATGAAGTGACGTTGGCGTCGACTTCGGTGCGTTCGTTATGTTCGAAGCGCAGATCCAGGTGATTATCAATCATCTCGGTCAACAGAATATGGGTGTTCGAAACCCTACAAGGTACTTCAAAATATTCAATATTACTATATCAACAGGGTCTTCAATAATTAGTATCCGACCAAAAAATCTTGATATGCCATAATTACAACTTAAATAAGTGCAAAAAAGAATTAATTAATTATTCGAAAAATACTTTTTTTATATTAGATTCAAATTGAACAATAAATTTTATAACTGATTTAGAATTTAATAGAAATTATTATTGCCTAAATGAATTTTAAAACACTGAGAAGTAAATTGCAACATACTGTGGCAAACGCTTAGTTAAAAAATGCGTGGCGAATAATACAAATACTTTCACTAATTAATCGCTAATTAATCAACGCACCGCACCGTGCTTTCATATTTTGCAGTCATTAATAAACGTTGCATAATCATCCACGCGAAATGCATGAGAACGAGAACAACATTCGTGTGGGCAACATTCGAAGTACGTAACTTCCAAACGAACGTAAATCGACTAATTTAAACTGTTAATGAGAACTGTGCCCAGCATATAATTACCACACAGTAACATTAAATTCAACGGTGTTGAAAGTAATCATAGAAATAAATCGATCACTATTTATTTCAAAGCAAAAAAGCAATATCTTATTGGCTGATTCATTGAATTGAAACGAGCAAGCAATATCGAAAACACGAAAACGTCCCAGAAGAGAACTACTTCGTCATTCGTCATCCGTGACATTGGCTGACTCGGAAGAAGTGTCAATGGTGTCTATCTTCAGCTTGAAGTAGATGAAATGAAAAAAAAGTAACGAACTATAACAATGCTCATCACGGTCTATATTGTAGAAAAAATCCAGGTAACCTAACTCAGCGTTTTGTGAAAGTTTCAAATGCAATGACTTGTGACGGACTTGAAACATTTAACCTTATACCTATCATTTATTCATGAATGATGAGAATATTCAAGAAATCAAGTTTGACTTTGAATATCAGTTAATTTTAATTTATTTCAGTGGTAAATGCACATGGATACAAAAGTAATTATAAAACATCAACGAAAATCGCATTTTATTTAGCGTGTGAGCAACAGGTTGAGATGTTAAATATTTTTCCAATTATTTTACAATTTACACATTACGCCGACGTAATGCAATCGCCAAAATGTTAATTAAATAAATTAAAAACGAGGCGGAACCGTTTTGAAAACATTATCAAAATAACCCGTTTGTTTGTCGATAAATTACGCTCCGGTCGCGAATATGTTGCGTGTGACACGACGTGCGCTTCATTTATGTATCGAAAATCAACAAATGAATTTATTCCACAACGACAATGTCGCGCACCACCATGCTATTAACAAAAGCAGACCGCAAAATTTTGCCCTCGACATATATAAAATTAAACGCGCAAAACAAACGTTTAATAAATATTCACGCACGCACTCCATCGCGTACTATACAATGTGTTGGTTAAAGTTTAAACCAATATTGTAATAATAAGTAATAAACGCAAATAAAAGCAACGGCCGGTTTTCCGCAGCCACTAGTCAAACAAATTTACCGCTCGCGCATTTATTGTTTATGCGTATAATATGCCTGCGCGCGACAAATATATAAATAAAATATAAATATTGCGCGCTCGATTAAATCGCGTTTATTGTTGCACGCGCGTAATCATCGTCATCGACGGGGCAATTAAATAATTTTCCAATCAACCGCACGTCGCTCGCACGCGAAATATAAAATAAAACAAACGCAAAACGCGCAACACATCGAAATTGTCTAGATTGGCAGCGAATTGGTAAACCAAAACTGCAAGAGACAATAGGGAGAATAAAATTATTTATTTATGGTTTTTATTGCGGGTGGCGCTACTGGTGGTAGTAGTGGTTTCATGATTTCGATAAATTGTTGCCCACTTAATTGGCATAAAACGCACCTTAAATAAATAATAATAAAATTGCGTGCAAAAGCAAAATAAATAGAAACGAATGATTATTATTTATTGATATTTATTAATTCTATTTTAATTGTGCGAAGAGAAAATATGAGAAAATATAAAAACAGTGGATTTATTTAAATTTGGTTTCTCTTATTTAAATAAAAAGAAATTTGCTTGCATGTAATATCAACATTTATGTAGATTCACAACTCTAACCTTAAATTTTAAGAATATTAAGCAAATCGCTTGCTGTTAACCAGCATCAAATAACAAAATTTGTAATTAACTTAAGTCAGCTCATTAACACTCTCTTAACTGCAAGGAGGCTTCATAAAAACATTATTAACAGCCGCAGTTTAAGTTTGCACAGCAAATGAGTAAATATATTCTAATTACAATGCATGAGTAGTTGCGCCACAACGCCACATGAGTACTACTAAGTGAATCAACCAACTAATTCCATATATTCGCGAATGAAACAGTGAAACCGCCATAATGACGTTATTAAAACCTGAACATCGCACTCAATCTATTGGCTAAATAGTTTTTGCGCACTTCAGTTAATGTTAAGTTAATGAGAAACTCACTTCGCTCGTCAGAAGGTTATAATTACTGAGAAACAAACACCAAGCTATTAATTAATAAATATAAATTATCGAATACCTACCCACCAGAGACTGTTTATTTCTCAAGTAGAAATTGCCCAAGAGTCAAATCTGAAACAAGCAGGGAAAAAAATTAAAATCATACGTAGAATAACATGCATGCTTGCAGATGAAACAAGAAATTTCATAAAGTCGACAAAATTTTATTTTAATATTTATCTTTACAGCGTTGACATATCGTAAAGTTCAAGTTTAAGGGACCTTTTTCCGGCGGCAAACTCCACGAAACGAGACGAATAAAATGCGGACGTTCGCAAAAAGTTTTCACAACGCCCGCGTATGAAGACCGTTCGTAGTGATGAAAAAACATTTGTAATGTTTCTTACCTCGCATAATCCAAAAATTTAGATTGAAAACATATAACAAAATCTTTTAATGAAAACTATTAGGTAATCCAAAATGCTCGAAATTGTATTTACGGCAGAAAAAAAAAGCTTATTTAATAATAACCTTAGTAGTAATATTTATAAAAGTGTAGACACTTAACGAATTCTTTTTTGCAAGACTACTAGGTGAATCATGACAACAACAAATAGAATTTTGACACTCATAGTGTCAAAAATTCCAGGCAACTTCCAAGAACACTGATAATATAAAGAAGAATGAAAGAGAATATTATAATTCATAAGATTTAATAGATGTTGAATTTCACAGAGATTATTCTTATAAAGAAATCATATTTTTATCACATCTGGTTTTTGAGTAATTAATTAAAAAAGTGATAATTTCAGAAAAACTGAAATCAACCTATTACTTTATAGGTACTTTATTTTGTTATCAAAAATGTGCCATTCTCAGGTAACACATAGAAATGCAAAAGCATTTTAATAGATACAGACACATTTACTTCGCGTATACTACATTTTGCCTGATATAAAATTTTAAATATTAACTTCAATTTCATATTAAATTTATAAAAACTAATTACCCAAAAAGTTATGCAAGTACATGCGTTGAATATTTTCATACAAGTGGTCGTAAACGTAAAAATTCCAACATAACCATACGTTTCTAACGTTATCTCTGACAGGCAGTTACTACTCGAGCCATACTTAAAAACCTACAATACAGATACGATTAGAACTGGCGACGACTCTGGACAAGCAGCAGCCAGTCAACTGTGTCCACTCTTTTTTGCACTTTGCAGCGCGAGGGTTTCGTTTAATACCCTTCCGTTCTATCAAACCTAATATCATAATACAGTATGCGTATGTAAATTAATGTCGAGGGATCCCCATAACAAATGTAATTAATTAAGCCGAACCTAATTAAATTTTTAAGAGCAGCAGAATTTAACTAAAGCGTGTTTTTCTTTTTAATTGAATTTATTTAAACATGATTATCCATTTTTCGCTTTAGTCGTAGCATTGGTTGACAGCCAGCCCATTCGCTAGAGTCAGTTTCATTTGTCCGCTGACATTTTAGAATCCCAGATTTATTTTATTCGCCCTCGGTTGAATCCGGCTGTGACTCTCGAATACATATGAAGGCAATTTATTTTGATTGCGTTTTCCGCGTCGTTTTGATTTCATTAAGAACGTCATCGCGCTATCGGTGCAGTCACTATCACCCCGAAACGCCAAAACATATGGGACATGTTGCCGGCAGGCGCGCGCAGGACGGCCAGGGTGGAAAATATACGAGCCGGGGTATGTATGCAATGTGGACGGGCAGTATTAACGTGTTTTGCAGAGGAGGCAAATGAACAAAGTGCATCTGCCAGCCTGTTTTATTTCAAACGTCCTCGTACGCATTTTACTACAACAACCAAAAAAATGCGAACAAATTATTTTCGACCAATAATAATTTTCATATGTTTATGATGTAAACTAACGAGTAAAACGTGAATATTTTGCGCAGATTCGTATACACTCGCAGAGGTGGAAGTAGAGGAGAGACAGTGACGTAAAAGAGTAGATTATTTTTTGGAGGGTGTCGTCTGCATACGAGCATGCAGCGGTAATAAAACTAAATTAAATTTTGTATTTTCGTATTGCTCACGCGTTTTCGCACGCCCCGGAACAATTCTAAACAATTGTGTCTTTCATTCCGCTGTCGATTCGATATTGTCACATTTGCAAATTATTGACGAACCAACATACACCAACATAAAAAAAGCTCCCCACATAAAATTCCTTCATATCTTTATAAAATAACATAACTTTCGATTAACTTTATAACTATATTATCTGAAACATCATAACATTTAATGTAGAATAATAAAGCTAAATTAATACTTCATTTGTTTAGATTTGCATGCAACTATATCCTTGACACTAATAGTTATAAGATTGAGGCAACTGCTGCATGCACGTGTAGAAAAATATTTTTTTACAGGAAGGGATGATATGATAGTGGCGCCTGGCGTGAATATTAGGCGGGCCTCTCACAACTTACTGGGTCTTGCCCAATTTCCCTTCAAATTTGCTCGCATTCTTTCCCCCCATCGTTTTGACGTGCGTGTATGTAGTATTAGTCGAAAAATGCTAAAGCGCGATATAAGGTGGAAGAAACCAGACCAGAAGCCGTTTCGCAGTATAATACAAGCTTGTATATTGCATATACTGCTCTCCCCGCATGTCGGTTTGCAATTTTAAAAAGGCAAAGGCGGAACTGGCCGTCGGTCCGGCTTCGAGAATATTGGAATATCGCGGGAAAGAGGGCCGATGCGTGGCGTGCGCCAAGGAGATGGATGGCTTTCAGTACTGTTTATGCGAAGTTAACGAAACGGCAGTTCGGCCAACACGAATACATTTGAGCGTACGGGCGGCGGAGAGTGAGTGAGTGCTTGGAGGTAGCGAAGAAATTGGAAATTGAGCCGGACAGCAAACGTGCACACACAAACATTTATAAGAAGAAAGCCACAACAAGCAAACGCATTTAATTCAAGCAAAGAGAGAGAAGGTAGTTGTAAATCGATATAGCGCAAGAGGCCTGGAGGAAGTCTGTGTGTTGGGCAGACCCTTCTGTTTTCCATATCCACAATTTTATTAATAACAAGAGGTATTATTGAATTTTTATGGAAACCGTATGCACAGCAAACACACGCGAGTATTCAATCCACGTCGTTATGAACTGTAGTGCGGGAGTTGGTGTTACTGGTAGTGGTTGTGGATGCGCGTGGGGTAGTGAGAGTGACCAGTGCGAATTCGACCACATAACTCAATTCTCAACTGCTAGTTCCGCTGTATTGACGGGGCGAATATAGGAAATTTAATAAATTTCACTAAAAACAAAAACAACGGACGAAAAAAATCTCGATGTGTATACCTAATGCTATTCGAGAAGCAATCACTTATCAAAAATAACACTTTACATAATTAAATAAATGAATTTTAATATTTATTATTCATACAATATATAATACAGACGTGAGTTAATAGATGATGTCAATATTAAGAATTATCGAAGTGTTTCGTTTGCACTAAATTGATTTTCGTAAAACACATTGTATTAAGAAGTAAAAATACTACCAGTGCCAATATTAACAATCCTGGTCCTAACAATGTGCCAACAACAAAATGAAAAGCCTGCCAGACGTATTTATTCAAATTAAAAAACAAAAAAAAAACCTGAAAAACCAAATTGATTGATTACAAAAATAGTAAATATGCGTTGCGGGGTATTCGCTAAATTAAGTGAAACGCGTGCATTTCCCGAACGTATTCATGCTTAAATGTGGCAAACTGAAAATTCGCTTGGTAGAGGCGCTGGAGAGCTGTCGGAAAATTTTCCGATTGCCGAAAATGTTGCGGAGATTTATTATGAAATGGAATTTCTATGTTTTCAAAACTATTTTATGTCTCTTTCAACGAAATTTTCTACAAATACAGCGCGTAACAAAAACCCAGCAATTTGTAATCTAACATTTCATGCGCTAGTTCATGGTGTTACCACTGTTTCGAGCAATCGGTCGAATTAGAGAGCGATTTAAATAATTGTAAACGTTTAGAGCGATTCGTAACCTCTGACCGCGAACAACCATTCGCAGAACTTTCGGTATAATACGCAGACAAATTCATCGCAATAAATCCACCTGCGTGTTTACCGATGCACTAAACTAAATTATAGTCGCGGAATATCATTAATTGCGAAGTCGCATTAATCTGCTGACAGCAAAACGGCGGACAAGTGGAGGCCGACCGCTCGTTTTGTATGTTTCGCAAATGGGATGCTGGTCCTAATTACAATTATGTGCATTGGCAAACAGCACCGTAACACCAAGCTTCGAAACAAACGCATTACTGAATTTAAGCGTAATAATATCCGATGGTAAACGTTCTTTTAAACGATCGCAACGTCCGTCTTCTATTATCTATTTATAGTGTCATTAGCTCACTTGAATTCTTCAATATTGCAGTTTTAATAGCTTACGGGGAAATCAAGTCAAATTATGTAATTTTATTCATGGCAGCAAAGTACATTAGGTTGCCTATCAACCAAATATACACAGACTTTGTGAGTAAACAATTCTCTGAAACAACTTGAATCTTGTGCTGCTTGAAGGTGAAAAGGCACAAAAATAAAACAAGCTCGAACAAGAAATTTCACGCAACGCTGCGTCCGAATAGCAGTGCGATAATAAACACGTTCAAATGACACGTATCCGAAATAAATACAATGCCTCCAGTTGCGCCTCAATTATTATTAACCAGTGGAATTGCTTGTGCATCAGATAGCGCACAATCATTGGAATATCGTTGACTAATTGGAATTATTAAGTTACATTAAAAGCTGTAACGAGACTAAAAAATACCGATTAAGATTGGTGATAAATCGGTACGAATCAAATGAGTATTATTTTCGGCGCACCAAGCGGCGAGTCATCCTCTTTAATTTGTTGTAAGTATTTATTGTGCCATGCCGATGACGTTTGGGTGGGTTCGAAGGTTGGCTCGACGCATGGCACGCCAGATTCGTGCCACGATTAGACCAGTTTGGTAATACGCACATTACCAACTCTCACAGTGGAGAGAAGAAGGTTTGGTGGTTATAAATAACACACTCGGACATATGAGGTTGCCACGCGTCTGTCTGCCACCACTCAGGTG